TTGGGGAAAAAAAACCCCACAATAGCTATTTTCTAAATTTCTAGTATGTTTTTTTTAATGGCTTGTGGAAATATGGCTGCACCATAAGAGCAAATACTGCAGGGATTCTTAGCTTTTGACATTTTTAATTGCCTCTGCTTTGGTTATTACACAATAGATATTTTCCTCATCTAAATATAATGTATCTTTGTAAAATCCTTTAAAATATGATTTCAAACCAATGAATGCCATTTTCTATTTGCCTTTAATTTCCTCTCAATAGTAAGTTCATCAGAGTGTAACAATTAATTAACTTAATTAAGCTAACTTAATTATGTTCTTTCATAGGTCAATATGTAGAGCTACTCAGATTAATAGCAGAGCTTGTAAAGTTAATCTTCTTGTATAATGCAAATGATGCCAAGTCATGTATTAAATACCTTCCCGCATAACAGATGATATAGGACTGAATGTACTTTAAAGAAGGGCAGGGACTGTGAAAAGGTTAAATAAAGAAAAATGTCTTGGATTTGTGGAAATTTTAAACAGACCTAATTCATTTTTAAATTAATAACGCTCTTCTAAGAGGAGCCCTCATTCCATAAGGCCATTTACAGCTTAAACATACATAAATAAATTTTGACTTCAGAAGCAGAACTGCATGACAGCATTTTCCAGCCATCTTGCGACCTTTATGTTTTGTTATTAAGCAGATTACATAAAACAGTCATGTGGGGAGATTAGACGGAAAATATGAATTCCTAACTCCAGAGCATTTCCATGCTCACTGTATTTCCCAGTTTATTTTACAGAGGAATCACTTCAGTAGTCAAAGGTATTATGTTCTCTTCTCCCTTCATTATTAATTCACTTTTAACACAGTTAGACTCTAGGGCTTTTTAGGCGTGTGGCTTAGCACTTTTGTTATGAAATATTCATGGGAACTACAGTAATCATAATAATTACTTGTAGAAGCATAAAAAGGAAAATCAAACAAATCTCCTGAGTGCCAAATGATCTCGACAGGTGACTCAACTCCTCTGTTTTGATAAATGGAACTGATGGTTGGTACCCACAAGGAGTTGGATTATGGGCCAAATCACCAAATTTCAGCCAAGTAATCAAATTTCAGCCCTTCCTACAATGAATCTGATTTAGGTCCAGAAAATATTCTAAACGCCTAGCAATTCTAGATGTGTAATCTGTCACAACTCTCTGTTGCCACTCAAAGAAAACAAAGAGGAGGGGTGCAACAAATATCCTGTGAGGTCCTTTGAACAGGAGTGTAAAGGAAAAGGCTCCAAAAGTGTGAAAACCACGACTGTTCAGGAGTTTTAAAACCAGAATAAAGTACTAACAAATGCACCGAGGGATCAGCCCCATCTACCAGGGGATGGATGACACAGATGACCTAATATATTTTCTTCTCTTTGTTAAAGTATGCTGTGTAGCCTTTGTGGGGTTGCAAAAAATGAACATCCTGATCTCACTGTAGCTGCAGGTTTAAAATCAACCGCTGACAACATCACAATCCTACAACTTCTGGTACAAAGGGGGATTATTTGTCTATGATACGGAATAACTAGTAAGTTATCACCTACGATTTTTCATCAGAAAACAGTCTGCTAGGTTCATACAGCATGGAAATTTCCAGTGACTTTTCTGAGTGGTAAGCTCTTCAGAAGTTAAACAAAAAAATTTAGTGTTCAAGAGTAAATATACAGTCCTATCCACTCTATGTGGGTAACTGTATATTTTTTCCAATTAACAGTGTGTCAGGAAGAACAACTTATTTCTAGCAACAACTGCCTGACACAATTCTTCTGTTAAATGGGTTCAAGCCAGCATCTACACAGAACAGAGGGAAAATACTGTAAATGCCTACGAAGTTTAAAAAAAGAATGCACAGCCTTTTCACAAGCATAAAACCTTTGCATTTATACATCTGGACAGATATACAAATGTGTATTTTCCCTAAAGTTTTCTCTTGTTCTCTAAGAGTGCAGATCATCTTTCTGTTTCTTGCCAGTGCTTATTCTACACAATGATTGAGTTATTTGCTCAAATGAGAGATGCTGGTGACGGAAATGCAGCTGTTTAACAGCCTTCTAATAATAGCAGATGGAGAAAATATCACATGAGCGTTATTACAAGCTTTGACATGGAATTACTTTCTATTCAGCTCTTTCAGAACATGTTACATCATACCTTGTTTAAAAAGCCAACACCTCAGTCTAATAAAACAGCATAAGGATGGATTGGACGCTCTGCTGAAGTTTATAGCTTCGGGTTTTAAAAAAAATCTCTTTTCCTACTAACTTGAAGCAGCAACGGGACTTGTTGGGAAAGGTTTTATCCAAAGATCAAGGAAGGAAGCTAACTCAAGAAACAAAAGATAGTATCAGCTGCCAATTGTGTTCATAAAAATTAAGAAACGTTCCCTTTGCTCATATATGAAATAATGCAGATAGTGCTCCCAGATTTTCCAAGAATAATTCAGTGATTTTAACACGGAATGCTATAAACCTTTTAAGCTGCCTGTACCATACTTATGACTAATGGCAGCTGACTTAAGCATGGGACACATTTTTTCCTTTAAAACAAAACACTATACCTCAGTTGTGCATTACTAATGGCAAAACATCTGTGCACCATCCAGACAAACTGCAAGCACTGAATGTCTAATAGCTCAGGAACAGACTAATGGGTATACCTATCTTAATCCTTCTTTAGTTGAGAATCACAATGCTTTACACAGCTTTTATAGCTTTAACACAGCACTAAGAAAACACCACAAATATGTAAGGGATTCACGTTCATATGCTACCATCACGTCATGATATTTTACCCTAAAATGCTCCAGAACATATATACGTGGTTTTTTTCTGTGGGAATGTAACGAGTTGGTTGGTTGTTGAACTCATTCTTTTTATCCAAGAGAGAGAGACTGGCACAGCTTTTCATCTGTATCTGAACCGAGTTGGCAATGCAGCCATTCAGAGAGAACAGCTCTGTTAGCCTCTAGGCTTACACTATTAAAACATGATTAATTGATTCGCCACAGGATTGGCAAAGGAAATTAATACACGTAAGTCTATGTATTTCTATTTTACTTCTAATTAAAGAAGGGGATATGCCTCTTATGAGACTCAGGTTTAAGGGGACTGTCAAAACTACTCTCCTTTTACTTAGATAACTGCCACCATCACTCCCTGTACATGAATGTGCTGCTGATGAGAAATGGTACCAAGACACAGCCCACCCACCTTGCCCTTCAGCCCTGCATGAAAAAGGGAAAGGAAAATCACTTTAACAACAAACCTTCACTTTCTTCAACATCACTGTACATTTTCCTCTAAAAACACAACATTTTCTTCTAAAAAACTGTATAAATATATTTACTAAATCTACCGCAGCTGCCAGGTGCACAATGAAAGTGACCATAAAAATCAGAGTAAGGGTCAAGAAATCTAATTCATCAGCCTTTCAATTGTATCAAATGATTACAGTGTTATTCAAACAAGTGTATTTATACATTTAAAACACTTTAAAAGCTCTGAATCTTCAGTATTCAACATGTCCAGAGAATTTTCTTTCATTGGTTCACGGTAAAAAATTTGTGATATCACAACAACAGTGCAGTTCTGAATTTTGAAGTGGTTGTGGGGACAAAATTCCTATTTTAAGCACATTATGTTGGAGGGAAACCACCAAAACAATATAATTTACTATAACATTCGACAAAAAGCAGTGTTATTCTACAGTTTCCTAAGAAATGCTAAGAAAGTTGAATAAAATGACATTGAAATTGCAATGACACACACCTGTCCCCTTCAAATGCATCAATTTTTCCTTTAAATAACACTTTCCAATTCCTACTCTTAAAAAAGACAATAAAGATATAAAATATTAACTCATCAATCACACAGGACTTTTCCTTATTTTAGTATGGCTACTAATTAAATCATTCAAGCATTCAAATGTATACAACTTAAATTTTATGGGGGATTGCACAGCTTTTGAGAGCACAGAATGTTCTCTTTTTAACTAGAAACATGGTTTGGTCATTTTATAACCCAAAGTGTTTCTGCGTCTGAAATACCCCGAAGAATACACACACTTTCCTGAATCCTTCACAGCTACAAAATTTTACCATCTAAACACCCGAAACGCCAATTATTTCTGCAGTGGCTTTTGTCATATGCCACATGGCTGGTTCCTGCCCCCTGCAGAGTTAAATCTGATTTTAGAGCATTAAAAGAGGCTGGGAAGGGAGGCAATAAGAGGAGCAGACGCCATCCCACCCTCCTGTTGAGTAGAACTCAAAATTCAACCATCATTTCTACCAGGAGGAACGACTGGACAAGCCAAACAAAGCCTCATCCAAGTGATCAAATGACATCCCACAAAGTTAAAACTAATGACGCAAATAACTGAGTGTTAGATTCAGACTGGCCTGAGAGGCAAATAAATCATAAGCAGAAAAAAACCTATGGTTTATATAAATTAATGCGGCAACTCACAAGGTTTTCCTATCTCCAACTAGAAGTTGTTCTCTCCCCACATTTGCAAGTCCAAAACTTTTTTTGAACATCCCTTTCCACATCCTTCTCAATTCTCCTCCACCTTCCCGAAATCCTTAGCCTGTTGGCCATTTTGCCTTCTTTAAACCTTTTTCTCCCATTTTTCTTTTCTGTGGGCGCATCTGAGCTTCTCCTTAACAATTGCCTTTACACCATCTACTGATGGGTAAAACTCAGATGAGACCCATCATAATGACCGTCAGGTGAGACTCAAATAATGCATCAGTTAGCAGCTGTAGTTAATTCCAAATATTAACTCAATAAACAGATACTGAAAGAATATAAGGGAGTGATGTACTAGGAGATGTCAAATAAAATGAGAAATAAAAAAAGACATTAGTTGAGATAAAGCTCTGCAAACACTTTTTTTGTTTTGTTTTGTTAAAGACCTGGGTTTTAGAGTAAATTTGCAAACGTTTGTTTACGGTGCTGACTTACCCATGCGAAACTTAGATGGGTTGTTTCATGGTGGGTTCTGAATTTGGAAATTCAACGTACTGGTGCTCCCCTCTCAAGGTTCCCTGCAAATCCAACCACAAAACTCCTTCTGACTCACCTCTCTCTGTTTTTATATAAGCTGCAGTAAATATGATTGAAGAAAGTCTACATCCCTTATAAAACACATATAATTCTTTATTACCCCACATTCTGTAAAACAGCTTCAACATAAACTATTACTGAGATATATATATACAATTCAAAGGGTGTATTTCCATCTTTCCATTCTCTGAAGTTTCCTCTCCCCCAGTTTAGCTGGTTTTATTCCACAAAGGTAAAAACAGTATACCCATCTTCCTCTTGGCCGCCTTTTACTTCCTAGCCATGTTTCATTCCTCTTTCTGCAGCACTTATCCTCTCTTTTGATTTTTAAGTATCATCTGTGCTCTCAATTTTAATTTCTCCAGTGGAGTGACACAAGTTGGCAAAGCTCACCTCTCTCTGTTTTTATATAAGCTGCAGTAAATATGATTGAAGAAAGTCTACATCCCTTATAAAACACATATAATTCTTTATTACCCCACATTCTGTAAAACAGCTTCAACATAAACTATTACTGAGATATATATATACAATTCAAAGGGTGTATTTCCATCTTTCCATTCTCTGAAGTTTCCTCTCTCCCAGTTTAGCTGGTTTTATTCCACAAAGGTAAAAACAGTATACCCATCTTCCTCTTGGCTGCCTTTTACCACCTAGCCATCTTTCATTCCTCTTTCTGCAGCACTTATCCCCTGTTTTGATTTTTAAGTATCATCTGTGCTCTCAATTTTAATTTCTCCAGTGGAGTGAGATAAGCTGGCAAAGTTGAGATGTAAGAGGCAGAACCTATGGCCCTCCACAGACCAGAGGTCCTTTAGCTACTCAGAATATAACACAAGAATACAAAAGTATTGCTAAAAACTCGTATGAGTCCATCCTCAGGACTGCTCAGATGCGATAACCCAATTTTCTGTCTTAGAATACGTGGTGATACTCCAAAATAAGTGAAGTACCTATTTGGTCTTAATCCAGAAGACACTCCTAAGAATTCTTCTGGCCCCTCTTCTTCAGACAAAGTGACAAGACTATCAGAGGAAAGGAGAAATTCAAGAAGGTATTTGATAATTATCTAAAGCTCTCAATTTTAATTTCTCCAGTGGAGTGAGATAAGCTGGCAAAGTTGAGATGTAAGAGGCAGAACCTATGGCCCTCCACAGACCAGAGGTCCTTTAGCTACTCAGAATATAACACAAGAATACAAAAGTATTGCTAAAAACTCGTATGAGTCCATCCTCAGGACTGCTCAGATGCGATAACCCAATTTTCTGTCTTAGAATACGTGGTGATACTCCAAAATAAGTGAAGTACCTATTTGGTCTTAATCCAGAAGACACTCCTAAGAATTCTTCTGGCCCCTCTTCTTCAGACAAAGTGACAAGACTATCAGAGGAAAGGAGAAATTCAAGAAGGTATTTGATAATTATCTAAAGGCTGCCCTAAGAACTAATAAATTGCACTGTACTTCCTATGGCTAGTACTGCATACTCTCCTATACTGGGAAGATTAAGGTCTAAAGAAATCTGCGAGAAAAGCAGGAAAGACTAGTCTTTATATTACCTGGTCCTTGGATTATCTTGAAAAATAACAATAACATCTAAACTGTTTGAGGAAGCCAAGATTCATGATGTTAAGGCTACTCCAAATGGACTTCTTTCTCACAGGAAGGGTTAATTTAAGGGTAGTAATGGTTCTCTGAAAGGATGATTGCCACCATGGAATCAAATTCTGAGTCAGAATTCTGCAGACCACCTCTCCTCCAGCTATGGTGCACTGTGATGAGTGCATGTTGCAGGGTCAAACCCAAGTCCTTGGCTACTTTATGGAACTACCTCACAAGCCGGCACCTTTTCTTCTAACACCAGGGAGTATGGATTTACAATCAGGCTCATTAGCACCTAGTATCATTTTTTGGAAAACAAGGGCACAAAAAAGGCACAATATTAGCTAGGGTCTTTCCTTTGCACAACGCAGCAATTAGCCTATTTAAATTTAATGAAGGCTGACAATTTCTTTACATCTATCTATATACCTACATACAGATTCTACTTCTGATTCTTTAGTGTTATAAAATTTAACTGGCCAGAATCTAATGGGACTCCAGTTAATGTCATGGTGTAAAAGACAGGAACAAGGAAAAATATTTTCCCAATGGCTGTTAACAAGAAACAGTATTAAAAAGGCAGCAGATGGAATATACTCGGCTTATAGGTACTGAGATTCACACTGGCCTTGCATTTTGTTGGAGGCTAAGATTACTGAGATTCACACTGGCCTTGCATTTTGTCGGTACGGGAGGCTAAGACTGAGCTTTAGCTTTAAAAAGTCTCTGCTACGAGTAAAACAACACTAGGCATGAAAAACCGAGGCAAACGTGTATCCCCCAACAGTTAAACTTGGAAAAGAATAGACACAGAATGTCCTACCTCTTCTGGACGTTTCTGTGCCACCGATACAAGCTCTTCAGAGCTACTTCTGGAGGTAGAGGGTACCACGTTACCTGGGGCCTCTGAGACCACCTCATTTGACGGCTCGGAATCCTGAGGGCAACAGAGACAAATAGACCCCTCAGCAGCGTGTTGACGTGGCACGCCGAGAAAATGAGACTTTTCAGAGGAACTGCACCCCAAGCACAGACAGAGAAATGAAAAATACTTGAGGTCTGAAGCTCTAATCTTCTTACCCTGGGCAACTTCTTTTTACCCCAGAGGCAAAACCATCTGTCATGTATTTTTCTCTTAAAATTGGTAATATTTTCTTCACAAGTGCATTATAAGAATTATTAAATAGCTACATAGTATTTCAGAATTGCAAATTTCTGAACCAGCATGCTTGGTTTGCCCACACCCACCCCTGCTCCTGAACTGCAAGGAAGGGAATATTCCATTTCATCCCCTGATTTAAGAGGGAGGTTTGTACAAAACAGCTGGGACTGTGCTAGAACAACCCCCCCACAAATGTATTTTACCAATTACTGCAAACCAATATGGCACACAACCTGGTAAAGTTAGAAAAGTTAGACTTGGCTGTCTATTAGTAACTTTTAATACTACAGTAAGATAAAGAAAATAAAAATTCTCAAGTAGTTTGCATTCTGTTTTCCAAAGTACCTTTGAAATGCAACATGGCGAGAACAGTCAAAAGAAAAAGCACTTTAATATCTTCCCTGCTTCACACAGTGTTTTTGATAACTGCATAGATTGAGACATTTTACTACTGAGAAAAAAAAAAATCCATTAATCGGTACTATTTCTACTATGCTTGTTGTAATGCTCATTACAGAAGATATTTTAGAAGTCATCACTTAGCAAGCGGGATATGTGCTTTTGATATATCACTCTCTCTCTGTAGTCATTAATTGCAAGGAAATCAAGATTATACTTTTGGAAACTGCAAGCCACAAAGCTCATTATTAAGTTTTTCAACTTAACAACCTCTAAAAAAAAGTAAATTAAAATTTCATAATGATGATATTCAGCATTTGCAGTTTAGCCCAATGTACGTGTGGCTGTTGGACGGGTACAAGTGAACATCGTGGTCCAACAACCATTTGTGAATCACACAGAGAATCGCAGGTAAGATCAGATATTGTAAAAAAATTAATACATGAAGGGGGTTTCTGGTTGCTAGAAAGTTGGAAAAATCTCTTTCGACCCGGAGGGGGAATACTCTAATATCTCTATTTCCTACACCTTTTTAGGTGAATCCCTTTAAAACAGCTTCTGGGCTTAAATATATCAAACAAAGCGTTTTATGCCTTTCTTGTTGTACCACCACCCTGAGACTTAGAAAAAGGATATTCTGGCCCATTCTGTGGCTTATCACCTTAACTTTAGAATTTGGTATTAGGAAGATATTTTAGGAAATACGAGCTTCCAGCAAAGACTAAAGAATGCCATCAATTCAAATATTAACAATGCCATCCGACTGCCATTGCACAGAACTGTTTTATGGGCATAAGAACAGGATCTGAGACACCTTGGTAGAGCTACTATCCCAAATAATTCCATGACTGGAAAAATATAAAGTTATTTTTCAGCTTTCTCAGTTCCCCAAAATAATCTCAACACCATGGCTAACCACACTGAACTGTAAGGAGAAACATCTCCAGCATTCTGATAATAAAAGTCCCATTTTCCTCTACCGACTCTACAAAAGCCCCATGCTCTACATGCCATCAAAATAACCTCTGCACTATGTTCATCCTGAAAATTTGCTGTTCTTCCCAGCAGATCTGGCCTTCCACAGGCAAACAGCCTCTCGTTTGGTTCCCAGTAAACGATGACGATGAGACCATCTCTTCTTGTTGACCCAATTAGCCCCAAACCGGCTCTGAGTACTGAACGGTCCTGTTTTGTTTTCTCCTTGACAACTGGGAAGTTAAATCATCGACGTGCTATTTATCAGCTCAATATGTTTCCAGAAGCCCTTCTGTGCTACTTACAAAAACAAAAGTAACAACCACATCTGCTGGAAGAAAATGATGTACTTGTCTGAATTCCTTGGTTCAGTGATTTCTCTCCTTGGATTGTGCCCGTCTTTTGTGTCTGAACAAACCTCTGTTAAGTTGCTATTACCCCTGCCCAGATAATGGTAGCAACATTTCTTTGTTTCTTATGATTTTTGAAATTATTAAAGATGGTTTTCAAATATGTTCTGAACAACTGCAATTTGGTAAACGTTATGTTCCTGTTCCATTCCTCTTGCCTCAACAGGAGCAACACGTCACGGAGTCTCTTCCCCCACCAAATCTTCTTTCCAAGCAGCTTGGCCATCCTTCTCAATAGTTCTCTTAGGAACCAGCTAGCTAATATAATACTTCCATGTTTAAGGAGATGGATGGAAATGAAATTTACTTTATTATTCAGAAACTAAGCTGAGAAAATGCATCTCCCTTTCCAACTGCACTGGTTTTATTATTTCTTTTCCCACCGCTTCTCAGGAAAACTGTATAGAACCTACATATGTTGCTCTGAACCAGTTTGGCAACACGTGAAGCAAAGTTTCAGAAATAAACACATTCAGTAAGTGTAATGAGATCTTTCCAGGTAAGATACCACAATAAAAATGCTCCAAGGTGCAAGTGAGAATTTTCATAAAGCTGCTTCTCAGGGAGTTACGAGCACATGGCCAAATGAGAAATAGCCCCAGTACCTTGACTTGTACCCAACAAATAAAACAACCTGAAAAAGTATTAGAATTTGTAAGGAAAAGTGAGAAATCTGTATCTCTGAACTAAACCAACATTTTTATTGAAGAAGTATTTAAAAAATAATTAAAATTAGTTTCTTATTCTTTCTAATTATTATTTAAATCATAACATGCAAGACTGACTTTGCAAAAAGTCCCCTCTTTCTATTTTCAAGGCCAAATGATTAAAATCGTGTCAATGGCACTTCTCATTGATGTTTAAGCCTCGGCCATAGCAGTGACGGACGTGATTGTTCATGGACATGGAACCTACACAGTAATTTGTACACATTATTCTAGTGCTTAAACCCTCTCCATTTCATTAACATGTTATTGTATTTTCCAGCCTACATATGAAAACTCACGTATCTGCATTTTTAAGTTGGACAGAACAAGACACAGCTTTCTAATGGATCACAATATTTCATTATAATACTTAATAAACTATGGAGACAAACCACTTTTAAGCAGTACTTTCAGTTTCCTGAAAATACAAGAATTCTTTATCAAAATGTAAGTGCATCATAAACAAATAAATTCAGAATGAGCAGTAATTGCATTTTTCCTGCACGATGCTGATTTTGCTCAAAGCTCCTCAGAACATGATCCTTCTTGGACTTACAAAACCTTCAAGAGGAAACATGAAAAGCGCTGACATTCGACTATGTTTATGCAAGAAAGACAGCCCTGCTTTGAACTACGTCTCTTTTCATAAGACCTCACAGTTTAAGATACCACAACAGCATTGCCTTGAATCAATCACAGCTTTGCAAAAAAACCAGAGTGTTTGAATTACACGTTGACACAAATATTTGACAAATCAGATATTCTAGTCCTGGGGTGGACCTTGCTTGCCAGTGTTGGCAGCAGGCACAGAAGTGTAGCTGGTTAAATTTTGAGTCTTGGACATTCAGCATTTTACTTTTTTATTTTTTTTTTTAATTCAGGTCAGCAGAGATGGCTGGTGACAGGGATTGGTAGGAGATGAGATGGCAGAGGAGTAAGGTGCATCCAACTGTAGCACCTCCCTCAAAGCCTTCAGCTCTTTCCTCCCCTTCACCCCATTTTGGCACATTTGCTATTTGCATCCACTGCAATAGGAGCAAACATTGTCCTTTTAGTTCTGTCCTTTGCTGTGCAGAAACATCCCTGATACAGTCCACTGAAAAACCAACAGCGCATACAGAACAGATGTGGATTTCACTTGTGAGCTACACAGAAGAGAGAGATTTCAGAGGAAAATATTCAGGTTTTTATGCTATGCTGACGTTGTGGCTTAATTTGAGGACTTGACTATTTTTACTTTTTGTCACTTAAAAACCAGACTGTAAAGTACAAGATCAATACACATATATAGATGCATATTGGGTATGTAAATATGATACAGATATGTACATACAAACACTCATAGGGAATGCTATGGTAACAAAATACTGTAATTGTTTACCAATCCCCGTTACTGTCAGCACAGATGTTGACTCATACGAACTAGAAACTCTACACAGCTTCTGATTTTGAAGAAAATGGAGAACTGATGTATATATTAAAAAATATGCATAAAAATACTTTGCTAGAAAGCATAAGAAGCTGCATGTGAAATAAAATGATGGAAAAATAGTGTCTATTATAAATAGTGTCAATGTTTTTTATACCAGCCAAGCATCCACTATTTTTTTCTGCCATTGTTACTTTAAACCAAAACAAAAGCAGAAAGAATGAAAACAACCAACCCAAAATTTATACCAGCCAAGCATCCACTATTTTTTTGTGCCATTGTTACATTAAACAAAAAGTTTACATTGTTACTTTAAAAGCAAAAAGAATGAAAACAATCAACCCAAACCCTCTTTATAGATGACTCCAAGCCGACAGGTTTGAATGCATTATGTTAACTCTGCATCAGTTTTCATACATCACCCATTACCTTGGTCCAGTTGGAAATTATACAAGTCATAAATTAGCTTTAAACAAGTTTTGAATCAGCCTGGAACTAGTTTTCGAATTAAAGAGCCGCCAGTATATTACATGGCACTGTCATTTTATTACCCCAATCAATTCTGTGTGGCCTGAGGTAGAAAGAAAATGGATGCTGTCTTCATTTGCAAAGGGTTTATCTCTCACGCCAGGCTCTGAAAACATGACTGCAGTAATGAATTGGAAGCCAAAGTTACTAACAAAGACTTCTCGCAGTAACAAAGTAGAATTATCTGTCCCCTTTTAGACTTATAAAAAGGGAGGGGGAAAAATAAAAAGCAGCCCTTTCTGAAACATGAAGGCAGCTTCTTAAGGCTGAAGGGCTACGGGAAGGAATTAGCACATTTTTACTGAAGTGCTAAAGAGCTCGAAGCCT